ACCCTAAACTCTAAACCCCTGCACCCAGAACCTTCTTCCCTGAAGCTAGCGGCTGTCAACAATAGCACAGGATGTTGCAGGATGCAGGAGTTTCACTGCATGGTGTTGCCTTGTTGAACTTCAAGTAAAGCCTGTTGCAGCAAAAGCCTGTTGTTGTGGGTGTGTGTGTGTGTGCGTATGTNNTGCATGCATGCATGCATGTACATATGTGCATATGTACGAATGTACGTATGTACGTATGTATGTATGTATGGATGGATGTATGTATGCGCGCATGCATGTATGTGTATGTGCACGTATGTACATACATACATATATATATATATACACACACACACATGTGCCTGTGTATGCATGTATGCATGTATGTCTGTATGTACGTACGTCTGAACGCATACCTGTGTCTATGCAAGCAATGAACGTGCATAAATGTGTACTATACACACATATGAAGTCAATCTGTAGACTAACATGCGCCAGTCTGGGTCTCCGAAACGAAGAACCACGAGTCTCCTCCCGCTCGGAACCGAGTTTAGGGTTTATGGCTGAGGGCATTTATCGGGCAACCTTTCAAGCATGTCTACAGGAGAACCTGTATGTAGATAGATAGATGGGTAGATAGGTAGATAGCTGGGTAGGTAGGTAGGTAGGTAGGTAGGTAGGTAGGTAGGTCGGTAGGTAGGTAGGTAGGTAGGTAGGTAGGAAGGCAGGTAGGTAGGTAGGTAGGTAGGTAGCTGGGTGGGTAGGTAGGTGGGTGGGTAGGTAGGTGGGTAGGTGGGTAGGTGGGTATGTGGGTAGGTGGGTAGATAGATAGACAGATAGATGGATAGATAGATCTTTGCACGTGTGTGTGTGTGTGTATGTGTGTGTGTGTTTTACATATGTGCGGGTACATGCATGCATATAGATAGAGATATATATATATACATATACAGATATAGATACACATACATATACATATTCATACAGTATTAGTATATATGTACATATGTTTATGTATATTCGTCTTCAGCCCTCAAGCAAACCATTTAATTCCCTGTCGGACTGAACTCTCTGCTTCGCCAAGTGGCAGGTCAACGACGCGGAAGGCGATGCCGAGAACCTGAGGGAGAAAGCAGAAGCGTTGAGGAAAAGCGCTGGCCCCAGGGGTCTTCCCCAAAGGGCGCAATACCCCTTAAATCTAGGGTTATACCTTGAACTCTAGGGGCCTGAATATAAAATCTGGGGATATACCTTGAATTTCAGGGGCCTTAAGCCTTATGATTTAAGGTATCTTCCTTCCCTAAACCCTATATAAACCCTAAACCCTTATGATTTAAGGTATCTTCCTTGTTCAAGGGGTATTGGGATCTCTTCGTCCCAACATCTGCATAGCCCTGACAAGGCTACCGGGCCTAGAGTAATATAGGGGCCTTAGGGCTTTAGGGTTTAGGGGGGCCTTTATAGTTAGAATAGGGCTTTTGGGGCCCATTATACATACTGCAATTATAGCAAGGAACCCCCAAAAATAATAGAGGCACATATTGAGGCCGCTATAGTAGGAGATGGTTCCCTGGATTTCGGGCTCAGGGTTTAGGGCTTGGGGTGTTTGGCTTCGGGGCAGGGCTCAGGCTTCGGACTTTAGCTTATGTAAACGGGGCTCCGTCTCATCTGGTTTCCGGCGGAGGCCCGAAGAAAACCTCATGAACACCAGTGCTGACTGCAGCGACTCATGCACATCCACCTCTGTGCATAAAGACACTACACCCTAAACCCTAAAACCCTAAACCCGAAAACCCTAAACCCTAAACCCTAAAAGCCCTAAACCCTAAACCTAAAACCCTAAGGTGCAGTTGAGGAGTGCTCGTCGAAGGGTCGCCAAGCGGACATGGCCCAGCACACAATGCAAGGGGACAACTAAGACCTGAACACTACACCCTTAAACAACCCTGAGGTCTTGTGCATCTGAAAATCAAACTTTTGGAGGCTAAACTCTGCTGGCATATAAAAACCACGCTTCTACCGGCACATGTGGAGTTGATAATCAAACCACGACTGGCCACGCTGTTCGGCTGGGTATCCACATCGAAGGAGAGCATGAAAGGCACCAGGAACGCCTGACACAGCAAGGTTGTGTTGAACACGCCACCAGAAGTGAGGAAACGATCGTAAGGTTCGAGGATCGCGTTTGTTGTTGTTTGGGAGTCCATGGGGAATCACTGAACGAGCTAGGAACAAGACCTTCAACCCCCAAAAGATGTGGCAGCAAAGGCAATACGGATCATTCAAGCCCCGTAGAGAGGAGAACAAGGCTTTGAGGGTCGGGTAGTTTGGAATGAGAAAAAGCCTCATGGATGGTTGTGACTACGGAGTGTAATATGCATGATTATAAGTAGCTCGCTTTCTTCAGGTCGGCGGGCCGGAGCCACCTTCCGGGCTTACAGTGTTTAGGGCTTAGGGTTCAGGGGTCCCCTAAACCCTAAACATCCCTAAACCCTATATAAACATCCCTTGTTAGGTGCTAGGCTTTGGGCTTGGAGCTTGGCCTTCGGTTTCGGGCGTCGGCAGCTCAAGCGCTTGACTGCGGCCGTTCTGCAACTCTTCCCGGAACATGACGAGATGCTTGGAAGGTCATTGGACTTGGTAAGTTAGGCTTTAAATAGTTCTGAGTGTAGCCACCATAAATGTGTGTGTGTATATATTTGTATATTATACATATATATATATACATATATATATATATAACATATATATATATATGTATAACCCTAGTTGCTAAGTCCCATCATCGTAGTCAAACACCATGATCTCTAGAGTCTAGATGGTCGTGCTTCTCCTGTAGTAAACTGCAAAAGTCAGCCCAAAAGCTTAAAATTAAACCCTTAAGCGGTTTGAGGTGTGTCGTCCAGCCGAGCATGGCAAGGCATGCTTTCGGCTTGGCGGTTAGAGATGTTTAAGGTTGCCTGTAGGAGGGAGGCCCGCCTCCCCGAGAACGAAAACGAAGGCAGGCGTTAGCCACACCAGCCGGAATGGAGACTCCGGATGCAGCATTGGTAGCCAAACGAAGCGCCAAAGCCTGTCACCCTAAACCCTAAACCCTAAGCCCTAAACCCAAACTGAGCTGGTTCCCTCACAAGAAATCTCGGAGATGCCAGAAACCTTCTCGGCTGTAGGAGTGATATTCAGCAGGTTATCCAGAAGTGCGTCGAAGCCCTGAGGCTGACCCATACCCTAAAACCCTAAACCCGTATAGAGCCCTTGTTTGACCCTGCAAAGGAACTTAAAGGAGTTAATCCCTAAATTCCAGCACCCCTTCCCTATATAATTTACATAATTTATTATATAACAAAAACATTTTTGGTGAGAAAAATTCACTTTTGAAAATAAATCGCACCGAAAGCCAAAGCCAAGGCACCGCTGCCACACGATTGAGCCAAACTCTTCCTGCAGACTTTTGAGGTTCAGGGCTTAGGGTTCCTTAAGGTTTTGGGTTTCGGGTCCTTTCTGGTTAAGAGTTCAGGGCTGGGGGTTTAGGGCTAAGGGTATAGGGGGTTTGGGGTTTGGGTTTAGGGTCCAGGCTGCAGGCTTCAAGGGATAGGTAGATAGACCGATAGATAGATCGATAGATAGACAGATAGATAGATAGATAGGTAGATGGATAGATAGATACATATATAGATAGATTTAGGCAGGCAGGCAGACATACAGCCAACATAAACATAGGCACGAACATGTACAAACATGTACGACAAGCGGAATAGGGTTCGGGGGTATATAGGGACTCCAAGGAGCTGTGATTGACATACATCCAAAATTTTCAGATCCAAAACCCTAAGCCGCTAAATCTAAGATTTCTGAGTGCATCCCGAGTCGCACCGCTTTGAAAGCCGGTGAAACCGTGGAGCTTCAGAAGTGAAGAGGACCGCCGAGCAGCCTCTGAAAAAAAGGCATGGTGTTAAGTTTATGGTTTCACAGTTTAGGTTGTAGGGGTTCAGGTACACCCAAAGCCCTAAACCCTAAACCGTGGCTTGAATAAGGGGTTAGACCGTACGCCGTAAACCCTAACCCTAAAGCCCTGAACCCTAAACCCCTAAACCTTAAACTTCGAGCCTTTCGGGTGTAGGCAGACGAGCAGCTATGGTTCGACCGGAGGTGCGGTCGCTGCTGATCCTTCCGTTGAAGGCGTTGAAAGCCTGAGAGCTGGCTTGAAGGGGTTCCCTACTGTTGATGATACAAATCCTGCACTACCTGAAGGACCCTAAACTCTGGGAACTATGGTATATTCCTCGTAAATTGGTAATGCAGGATTTATATCATCCACCGTATTGGCGGGTGAACAATCCGACGCATTGGGACTTCTGCGTCTCAATGATAGGAAGAGGCGACATCGAAGGATCAAGAAGCAACGTCGCTATGAACGCT